GCCAGGCTCCACAGCCCTTCCCGGGACCTTTGGCTGCACATGCCTGCGCCGCAGCCTTGCCTGCCAAAGCCGTGCATGTCACTCTTTAGGCGAGCCTTGCCTGCCAAAGCCGTTTCGCACGTCTTGCACACACGATAAAATGTACACTGCGGGCTTGCATGCTTTTCCGGGAACGCGTCTTCCTGTTTCCACGCGTTACACGCCATGCATTGCCACGGCTTTCCTGTATTGACGTGGCGCTGGATGCACTCCTTGCAAACCCTGGCGGCATCGGTGCGTTTCCAGCGCCCTGCTGTGAATGCTGACGCTGGCTTTCCTTCATGGCATTCCTTGCAAAACCTCTCCTCCCGGTACTTGGCTCTCAGAGCTGCCCAATCGAGCTTGTCTCCGCTCCAGCTTCGCAATAGCAATTCTCTGCCTCTCTTCGGCCCTTTTTGGAACGCCATCGCAGGAAACGGCCTGTAAACAAACAAGCCCAACCTGTTGCGAACCCGTGTCAAAGCAATGTACGCCGTCAGCGGGTCCCCGGCCTCGCCAATACGCATGTCCATGACAACTCCTTCTTTGTACGTCTGCCCTTGGGCCGCATGAGCTGTGGCTGCGAAGCCTGGAGCTAATGGGAATTGCTTTCGCGTAACGCGCAGCACTGGCCGTCGCCGGCCTTTGTCTAGATACCACGGTTTTTTTTGCGGCGCTACCGGAAAGACGTTGTCTGCGGCCATGCCGTCGACGCGCCACGTCTCTTTTGTTTCGAATTGCACCAAAATGCAGCCAGGAAGCTCATTCCAAATGTGTGTTCTTTCTTGGTTGTTCTTAGTTTCCGAAGGCTGTTGCCAGACCCATCCAATAACTTTCCCTGGACACCCCCGCAAAATGCCACGATCCCTGTCGAGATGATCTGTTGCTACCACGGGCATTCCCACGCACAGTGGCAAGATGCCATACAAAGACCCACAATCTTGATCATGCCGTTGTAGCCACGTGAGCTTTTCTTTGCTTGCGTCGGGTTTCTCACGTAACGCGGCACTGGAGATCCTATCTTTTGCAATGGCGTAGTGGAGTTGCTTCCCAGCAGCGGCCGCCCATGCCTGCGCACGAAGCTTGTTCACGTGGTATTTGACCTTGTTTGTGGCAAAGATTGCTTTTGCTGTCGCAAACTGTGCAGGCGTCCCTGCCTGGTGGTCGATAACTCGTATCTTGGACTGCCGTTCCTCACGGCAGACGCCGCACTCAGACTGCCGGATAGCACTTGGTGTCGCCTTTTTGGCCCACAATTGCTGACAGCTTCCGTTGTCACACTCCAGCTCTCGTCCATTCCAGCTTCCGGGTACTGCTGTATCGAAGCCGTGCAAAAAAGCATGGTTCGTGTTTGACAAAGAACCGTTTCGAATTTCGTTTTGCACCGTTTGCAACCACACATCTTTCGTGCGTTCGCAGCCGCCTGCAGCTAGCAGCCAGCACCAACCGCCAACCGGCAGCCAGCCAGCAGCACCACGCAGCAGCAGCGCAGCACCAAGCCGCAGCAGCAGCAGCACCACCGGCAGCAAGCACCACCAGTGTGATATATCAAGGTTTCAGGCACACAGCTCATCCCACTACCAATTGCTAAAGCAACGAAGAAGTCAGCTAGCATGCTAGCTTTCGTGACAAGGACTGTGCATACACTAGCGCATCCGTAGTGTAGCACAAGCACCCGTAAAAGGAATCAAGAATACAGAGTCTTGAGGACATAGCCGGTGTATGGTTATAGCAATCCCTGTCCGGCTTCTGGTCTTCCAGCTCCTACCCCAAGGCACCAGGGCGGAGCCCTTACTATATTGATTGCATTATTTCTTGTACTTGCTAATTGCAGCAAAAAACTGGCGGATGACTTGGTGAATGCCATTTCACAGCTCCCTCAAGCTCTACCGAAAACACAGGGAGCTGGAAACAAGCAGGTCACGGTCACTTGAGGTCCACTGTAAAGATGCTGGTTGCTTACTATTCTCTAGACTCTTCAAGGACAATTGGGGGGAGTCTCCAAGTCCGGTAAAGATGCGCCTCGCTCAGCTTCTCGGCCAAAGCTTCGTTGGCGCAGACCTTCAAGATCCCCTGTGCGAGATCTACACAGGGTCACGGGCGAAGGCAGCTCAAGCAGCTGAGGGTCCTGCTTCTGGCTTCACTATTGGCTAACGAAAAATGCCCGATCTTCACTCCCAACACAACAGGAATTTCAATCTCAAATCAGTGGAGGTGCGGGGCATCAGGCTATATAGCACTTCTGGGCGTCAACTTGTAGCCTGGGATCATCTGGGATCTGACTCTTTTCTGGGTACTTGAGAGTGTCAGCTTACCATTCTTACATGCACAGTATCACCATACCTGGTGAAATATGGTTCCTCAACCACCTCAAGAACATGCCAACCAACTGATGGGCGATTTCGCAAGCCTCCAACTCCTCCTTCAAGTCCAGAAAGTTGGAACTCTTCAAAGGTGGCAAATTTCGGAACAAGTCTTCCAGGACCTGTCAAGACACCAGAAAACGACATTGTCCAGCTGTTTCTGTTACACGGTTGCGGTGTTCGAGATCTTTTCAACGCGATGAATTTGTACAAACCCAAGCAGTACAGTTCTTTGATCGAATGCATTTGACTTGGGCAGTGCTCCTGCTGCCCCCTCTCAGTCTGGCTAGAACCAGCTGAGTCTTAATAGAGCACTTCCTTTCAATCTTTGTCCCACAACAAAATCCGTCCAGCTAAAAACTCAACATGACTATAGATGGTTCAGGCATCTTCTGTCTTTGTCCGAAGACCGTCTGCTTCAGCAAGCCAGAAATATCAGGCTGAAAAGGGAATTTGACCAATTCAATTTATATAAGCATCCCGAAACAAAAACGTTGATCTTGGTCTGTCCATGGTACAGATCGGCCTTGTTCGGATTGTCCTCCTTTAGGAATCGAATCACCTCGAAACAGATATTGCGCTTGCAAGCGCAGTAGACTCATTAGACCAACGGCATGGTACACATGACACAGCATGACGCATTCAAACACTTGGTGGTGTTGTTGAGTTACTGACTCATGTCATGTCTGCCTAAAATCACTCAACTCGCATCAAGACACCAGAATCGTCTAAAGTCACCCATGTCCGCGAGAAGTCCCTCAAATCTTAAGCAAAATCCAATGGAGGCACCATTCCCTCGAGGGTCATAAGAGATGCTTGAATTCTAAGAATTCTTGTGGACACCGAAACCCACAACAACTTTGTCTGTCTTACCACTGTTTCAAACAGCTATCACCATGAGACACCGCTTAGCAAAATATCATGTATTCTTTGCAGTCGCATTGGATAGGGAACGCAGTGAAGCACTGCCAAACAGTGTTCTGCGCGAGCCCTGCGTTAGTCTGCCCGAGCTAGCATGAGTCCATAATGGTGCTCTCATACGTCTCATATTTATATAAATCATGCTCGCCAGGCTAACCAGCAGCAAATCCTCTGGAAGTATGATGCAATATGTGACGCGGTTGATGTGCTGATGTAGCTGGACTGCACCCGACACCATTCATGCACGACTTCACACAAGCACGAACAACCTAACCCTGGTGCCCAGTTCTTCAAACATTACACATGTCACATGTCACATGACCAAGGACAGTTTGACCTCAGTTTTCCATAGCCCGTGCAAGTCAAGCCACATCAACGTTCTGGGCCAGGGCCACCTGTGTCCAGCGACATAGGAGTTGGCAACAAAACCAGTCATCACAACAATCGAAGATTGCAAAATGGTGAATTGAAGTGGGTGAACAAATGATTGCTGCTTCCAAAGTTTTGAGGTAGATGGAGACAGCAGCAATATCATGCTGGAAGATCTGCTCATGCCTTGGCATGCCTTACCCCAAACTGGTGTTCACATCCGTTTGTTGGGCCAAGCATTATGCGGTTGGAGCCAGCCTCGCTGCGTTGGAGTGCTTCAGACCCTGCCGCAGAGCTAAGAGACAAAGGCACCTGGCCAAAGACATCCAATCCACTTTGGAACTCTGATTCTTTGCGTTATTGCCCGCGGAGGGCCGTGCAAGGCCGTGCAAGGCTGTGAAAGGCCGTGGTCGCCACGGGTCTTGGACAAACCAGAATGCTGACGGCCTTTCTCAATGCGCACTGAAGATGCCCATAGTAGCTACTTGATTCTACGGCCAGGAGCCCCTAGTCGCGTCCTTGCTCCTGGTCCTAGTAGCGATGCCCTTTGCTCCTAGTAGCTACTTGCTCCTAAAGTGCCCAAAGCAGGGTTGCCAAGCTTGCGGTCAGCAAAATGCTTTCGGGGAAACTGCCTCATACACCCCCGAAACTTTTTGGTCGGGCTTCCCATGGTACCTTCAAAGGAATGAGCCCTTTCAATCGAAAAAGTAGTAGGTTGCCCAGCGGGAAAAAAGAAAGAATGCCATCTTGATTTCTCCCTGGAGCTGGATTACCAATAGGCTCTGGATCCAAAAGTAGGATAAACGGCAACCCAATGAAGCCGGAAGCGCCGTGCACTTGGAAGCTGGGCAGATCGAGAGCGAACCCTCCTGAAGTAGCTCGGCTCATGTCTTGTGTTTGGCTCCGGTGTGTATTTCAGGAGAATATTACAGTAATGTGATGCGTTCGAACAACGTGCCATTCAACAATCGGATGCAGCCCAAGCTTCTGTGAAAAAGAAGCGATGTTGCAGGGTCAAGCGGTACAAGACCTCAGTTGTAAAACTCCTAGGCACTACCCAAGCAGGCCGAAGGACACGACGTAGCCCGGATGTCAAGTTCTTGCTTGTCAATGCCCCCCTGGAAGTAGCGACCTTGTCCTAGAAAAATCCAACAACCTGACGTCCAAACTCCTGGCATCGCTACTAGAAGCAAGAAGCTACTAGGGGCTCCTGAACTGCTTCCTGAGAGCAACACATCCGTGACAGAGGCGTGCCTTTTGGACGAACCCAACACATGCTTCTGATAAATAGAAGGCTTATCCAAACCGTTGTGCTACATCAACCTCCAAGTAGAATAGATGTTGTTTTTGCACTAAGCACAAATTGTGACAAAGACATGACCCCAAGCCACTACTGTAATATGTCGAAGAATCTTCAGTCACAGGACCAGACCATGATCCAAATGGCCCGTGGTCAAAGTGGGGCTTCAGTGGTGTGGCAGACCAGGCTATCGCAGCAAAGCACCTCCTGTTGCTGTTTCAGTCCAAGCAACCTCAGTATTCTTCTCTGCTCTTTCCATTGCTTCCTTCACAAATTGCTCCGACCACCATCCAATCTTCCTGCAAGCCTTCAATTGGAAAAGGAGGCAAACTGATAACAGCTGTCGAAAGCACAAACCCATCAAGGAAGACAGCTCTGCACCAGCCTGGTCAAGCAAATCTCCAGATTGCACCCTGCCAGTTGCAGCTTTGTTGAAAGGGTTCGAGCTGTGCATTCGTGCTTAGGAGGCCAAGTAAAAAGGACGAGACCAACCCATGCGCTCGTGGTGTGTTTCCACGAAAGTCAAAAGTTCAAACCTGCTTCTTTCCCAACAAAAAATCAGCTGCCCGGCAAGCGGTAGGGCCTGATCTTGTTGACATTGTGCAGGACCAAGTTCTGAAACAGGATGAGCTGCGACGGTGGCACGTAGACACCTAGAACTCCCAAGCCGGAAAACTTTGGAAAGAAGATCTTGTTTTCTTGGCTTTCTGATGGGTAGTCTTGGCCTTGATTGAATCAACTGCCTTCGAAGAATTTTCTTTTCAAGACAAGAATCTTCGAGGTGTGCGGTCGTAGTGAGATACAAAGGTTTGCACCGTCACCGTGGTGTCTGGGTCATCGGTGCTCGTGGAGTCAGGACTGATTCGATCCAGAAGGAATCTCAGGATCTCGGGGCGCAGTCGGCTGCCAATCTTGTTCAAGCGCTTTGAGCTCACCTTGTTTGTCATATCTTCGAAAGCATCCAGCACCGTACCTCATTTGGTCACGACAGCTTTGGAAGGATCAAAAGGCCGGGCAGGGAGAAATCCTTGATTTGGCGGCCAGCCAAAGAGATACTGTCAGTTACCTCTTAAAAATATTGTCAAGGTGAGTCAAGGTACAAACATTGAATATGACATCACCGTCAAAGTTGTTCTTCTCGCAGCGTCGGAGGCCCACCTCCCGGCCACCATACTTCTTTGGAGCACGTAGAATCGGGAGGATCTCGGTGAAGCGAAAACAGCATCACCGCCATGCTCGGCACATGCCATGCGGATGCGACAAGTAACCTCACATCTTAACTGAGCAAGCCAAGCGGCGATGCCATTCACGAAAAGACGGAACAAAGGCTCTACAATCTTCAGCTCCACCTGCAACAGTGAATTTTGCCATTGAACTTTCAGGAAAAACATGGAATGAATTGAGCTTCACGCTCCGACGTGAAGCCTCACAAAAGCAAACACTGCACCCGCCCATCGAGATGCAACAAGCTACAAACGTCTTTGAACACTTTCACTAAGATCAGTCAAGGCAATTGCTTGTGTGCACAGAAGGCCGCTCCAGAATGAAAACTCGATATTCCAAAAAGTGCTATGGTCAGCCCGGCCAAGTTGCAACAAAGCAGAACAATACAATCTAAATTGAGCACCAGCACTTTCATTTTCAGTACACTAAGCTTGTCCTAAAGAAACATCCTTGCCTCAGTGCCGGCTTCATCATCCTGCGGAAGCAGCTTGGCCAGTTCTAAGAACGTGATGATTGACTTGTCTCCAATGTACGGCCTCCACCCTAAGAGCGATGGCCTCCACCCTAGTAGCGATGGCCTCCAACTTAAGAGCGATGGCCTCCACCCTAGCAGCGATGGCCTCCAATATACTTAGGCTAATTACATTCGACCCCAATGCCGAAGGACTTCTCTATGTGCATGCTGTGGACATGCTTTCGTTTCGTGTAGAGATTTTTTGCTTTGATGGGTTTTATCTTTCTGACAGCTCAATCTCTGCAATGACTATGTCTTCTAAGTAGTCGGAGGTCGATGATTTCGCACAAGCATGGCAAGGTTCATCCGCTATACGGATTTATCACGACAAAACCGCAACGCTGTGTAGAGTCATCTAATGTGCATGGTTGCAGTGTTGCACTTGCTTGCGGATTTCGAAGGGAAGCAGGTTGGGTGCAGCGCGGGTCTTCTTTTTGTGAGTTCTTCTTTTGTGACTAGACTACCATCTGAGCACTCCGGCTGTATACAAGAACTGTAGACTACTTTTTGTCTGATAACAGAGTCAGGATCTTAGTTTGAATTGTGAAGAGACCTCAAAGTCTTAATGTATCTCTCCGGGTTTTGTTTTGACAGTGCCTAATTGTGGGAGTTGGAACCTTTCCCAGAAAGTCAGCTTAGCAAAGGAAAATAGATACAGTAAAAATCTCAGACAGTCCTCGACGCCAACCAGCTGGCATTCCTTGATGCTTTCCCGACAGAAAGCAAAGAAGGACCAAAAGCTTGGTGCCAAGGCCACTCTTCTGATAGCCGAGACCACCTTGGCAGAATCCCAGCTGGGTGTCTATTCCCCTGTTCTTTGCCCTTTTATCGCCAAACGCAGAGAATAGATAGGAACCCCATGTCAAATATAGTCTTATTTTTTAATCACTTACACTTACAGTACCTACCATTATCTCAACCTGCACAATAGATCTCTTGCTGCAGTCTCCCTCATCCGGCAAATCCTTGATGTCTTACCATTCTAAATTGACAGAACAATTGTGTCCAGCAGCCTCGACTTTGAAAAAATCGTAAAAGGCGTCCAGCTCCTGAACCGAGCAACAATGCAGCAGACTTGACATCGCCGGAGTTTCAGCTGAAAAAAACAAAAACGATGCTGGTTTTATGCTGAGCCGGGGCAAAGCCTCACTCAAATATGGCGGAGTGGTCAGACTACAGTGTTGACTCCATCGGCTCCTTTTGGAAGTCTGCGCGCAACTCCTGCGGCGCTTGCTCCTGTGGTCAAAAACATATTGAAGGCGGCAGGTGTACGAAGGGAAGCACTGGTGCAACATGTTCAGTGCTAGCTTGGGGTGGAATGTTGCAACACACGACCAAGTCTATCCAAGCTTCACTGCAAGCACATCAAACACAACAAAACGTGATGCGCATGCAGCATGTACACGAATGGCCCATTTCTGCTCCATCATGTCCACACTCAATTTAGCAGCAACCAACATTCATTGGCGTTTCACTGTGTGTTTTGAGGATTTCTGTGTCGGTCCAAAGATGGCATCTCTCCTTGAGCTTCGCAGCAATGCTGGGTGATTCCCTTGGGTGGCATCGCCAGAAATACCAGCATGATTTTGCTGTCAATTCTACTATTGTGACCCCGACTTCCGGGCAGGACAACTATCCGACAAAGTCCGATTGCGATGGCCTCCAGCCTACTAGCGATGGCCTCCAACCCAAGAATATCAACAATGCAAATGGCCGTTCGGCCAACTCGGAGCTCACCTTAAGGCCTCTAGAGCCAACCTCTGCAACTAGAGTTTTTGTAACATGTGTTGACACACAGCCTGTCTAGCCATTGCTCAACTTATCTGCCCGATTGATAGCAAAATGGGGAAGAGGTATGTGTTGTATCATGGCAAAGTCTCAATGTTCAGGCCAATGCAGAAAAACCTGTTGCAAAAAGGCCTGGCCAGTTGCATCAACTGTGTACAGTAATATTTCACCATGTGAAGCCATTTCTCCCAAATGCAATTCAAAGGAACTTCCTGTTCGAAAAGGCCCAAACAGAATGTCCAGAGAGTTTTCCAGCCACACCCAGCCCTCCAAATCCCAAATGCCTTCATCCCATTCAATTTGCTGAAGAAAACACCAACAGTCAAATTGCAGACAAGTGGCAGGTACCGATTGAACTCCAATGCCCAGGTTTGCGCCTTTTCTAACCTGGGACACATACACTGACCCTCATCCTCTGCCTTTACCACCCATACTGCGATTTTGGTGGCGATTTACAGTGACGAGCAAAGCCCAAGAGTTCAGCGAGTGTAGCAAGCATAGGGTCCCCACACCACGCATAGGTGTGCTGAACCACTTTCTTTCTGCACCACCAATGAGCCGCTTGCGGGAGCGAAAGAACCCTTGTGCTAGGACAATGAAAAACAAATAGGACAGAAGCTTAGAAGCGTCTTGTACGTCACCGCACCCATCAGCGTCAAGGGTTGACCCTGCTCATCCACTTTGTGGCAGTCCTTAATTGCAATTATCGTTGGGCAGAAGCTGGATGACATGTGTCTATGATCAATTCAATATCATGCAATATCCAAAAATGATTGGACACATCCAGTACAAGAGAATCACGACAAAACAGGTCATCACACAGGGAATTCTTCGCTCTTCTCCAAGGAGCCATAAACGGATGCACGACCTCCTCGAAGTGAACCCGATGCAGCGCAAAGAAAGAAAACAGGCGAAAGACGCGGCTGCTTGGTTGGAAGACGTCATCTACATTCTTTGCCTCAGGCTTGCCATCTATGGAATCTACCACAGCCTGACCATTGAAGACTGGGATAATTGAAGGTTGAAAGGCCGACAATCATATGTGCTAGTCCGAACATGACCAAACCAGCTCCATGCAGCCCTGTTCAGCTTGTACACATTTAAGGACTTCCACTGCTTGGAACAAGTTTCTGGATGCAAAGCTTTGATCCCAGCTCTAGGCAGCTCAAGTGTTGTTTTTTGACTCCCCAGACTCCACGCAAAATGCCAAAGATGCTTGCTCCAACTCTTTGGAAGTCATCAGCTGCAGCAGCAGGATGAACCTCATCCAAGTGACCATAAACCAGCAGGAATATGAGATTTGTGACCCAAACTTCGGATGGGCAATGTGGTGTTTGGTGCCTTGCCAGGTGGCCTTGCTTTTTAGGTACGCTGTGAAGGGCTTTAAAAACTTGAGCTCCATCAAAGCTAGATTCCACAACATGCATCTCAGTGCCTGCAAGGTACAAGTTTCTGATCCTGCTGTCACGAAGATCAGCAAAAATTGCACAGACCACATTGACAAAGACCTGGCGGCAGAGCGCAACAAACAACAAAACTTCACAGTGCACCATGACTTCTGTAAGGGTATGAATGCTTAACCCAGTTTCAAGGGAGATTCCCTCCGTCGCCTCCGCGTTGGCTTCGTCCTTGATGGTCATAGACAAAGTGGCCAAGTAGGAGACCTGCACTTGCAAGACCTGGAAGAGCTCCTGCAAGACCAATCTTCCTACTAGCCATGGCCTCCACCCTAGTAGCGATGGCCCCCACCCGAATAGCAGTGGCCTCCACCCGAAGAGCAATGGCCTCCACCCTAGTAGCGATGGCCTCCACCCTACTAAAATGGCCTCCACCCTATATAATAGCAATGGCTTCCACTGTACCAGCGATGGCCTCCACCCTACTAGCGATGGCCTCCAACCTACTAGCAAACAGAACTAAACCAGCCAAGGCTTACAATGCTGAAAGTTCCTCACACCACGTCGAAGTGAAAAGTCCTCGTAAGTGGAGAGCTTGGACTGGATTTCGTTGTCTAAGCCTTGGAAGTGCTGCGATCCTAGAGGCCCCATTTAATCCGCTCACGGTGCTCCTAGTAGCGATGCCAGGGGTCCCTAGTAGTGTTCTTTGCTCCTAGTAGTAAGGCCAGGAGCCCCTAGTAGCGTTCTTGCGGAATTCACGAAGTGCTTTTGGATAAACTTCATGAGCACTTTAGTCACTGGACTGGACTACCAGGTCAAGACGGACTGGTCTCGTCGCAAAAGAAGGTGATTGTGTGGACATGCGCTTTGACTTATCGTCCATGTGTTGCTAGGTACAAGTTTGTTATGTATATAACTGTATATAGACTCTTCTCAGCAAAATGGCAAAATGGCTCTCTCGGTCAGGGATTTAAGAGAAGCATGCTCATTGTGTACTTGTGGGTAGGAAGTTCCTAGTTCATACCAAAGCAAGAAAGCAAAAATGTACCCATTGACCTGTCCTTTGCCAAGGAACGATCCTCCTCCGAATGCTTAAGCACTGGGCCATGCAGGATGGAGTTGAGATGTACGATTCCTTTTTCGACTCTGTCCTTCAATCAAAAACCAAGTCTGACCATCAAGATGTCATACAAACTGCCTGTCATAGCAAAAAGCCTCTCAAATTCCGGTGAAATCGTCCATGACTATGACCACATCAGAGGTGACCCACTCATATCTGGAGGTGCATGCGATAAGAAATTACAAAACCCACACACTAATCCACGTGTTTTGCGAAAGCATGAATAAAGCCTGAAAAAGACAAAAACAAGAACTTCCCCAATGCTGAGATGCATGTTCCACACCTTTACACCACTCCTGAAGGATCTCCAACCTTCGTTCTTTCTCGGGCACCAATGCAAGGCTGTGCACGCTGCTCTCCACCATCTTCTTCAACTCCTTGCTAGTGACTTGTCTATAGGAAAGTCCGAGACACAAGCAGAGCAAATGGAGTGTGGTCTTTTCAGTCTTTTTGTTTAGGTTTGGTATCAAAAACTGTTTAAAGTTTGGAACATCTTAAGAGTGCCATCAATTAGGTCTACAGTCCAAAGCCTTTCTTTGATTCTGTTACCAGTGACACATTGCAAGGATTGTCGTGGGGCGGCCGTCTCCTTCTCATGCTTGTGCAGGCTGCCTCAGATGCAAGTGCCCCAGTCAAAAAGCCATGTTGATATCCTGGCCATTAGTAGCTTCCTGTTCCTAGTAGCCTTCTTGCTCCTAGTAGTAAGGCCAGGAGGCCCTAGTAGCTTCTTGCTCCTAGTAGTAAGGCCAGGAGCCCCTAGTA